TTTTGTAAATATAAACAAAATTAGATTTTGATGGACTCCAAAAAAAAATTGGGACAGAGGCGAAAATAAAAGAGAAAAGGTTCAAGAATATCCGAATTAAACTGTTTTGAAACAGTTCAGAGTAAGCAGGTGTATTGGTAACAGGTCAAGATATCATGTTTGGGTATAAAAGGAGCATCTCAGTCTTTGGAAGCAAAGCTGGATCATGACATATCACTTTGTGCCAAATTTCATGAGAGATACTGTTTTTGAGATCAAATCTTTGCATAGCTATGACAAGAAACACTGGAATCTAACAATACCTTGAACATTTTTTGTTAATCTTAAAACATAAAGCATTTACATAAACCCAAATAAGAAATAAAAGAGTTATCAGATAAGCATGTGTCCCATTCTGTGTCCTAAACATATTTTAGAGCAGTCACTTTAATTTATGAAAGAAATCAATTTAATCTGTATGTGTGTGTGTGTGTGTGTGTGTGTGTGTGTGTGATAAAAATTCAGATGTAACCCCCTTTGTAATTGTTAACATTTTCATAACTGTAATTTAATTACAGATTTTTTTCTCAGTAACTGTAACTGATTACAGTTACATTTATTCTGGGTAACCCTTTATTTTAAGGTGTTCTTGTTACACGTTTCATGTACTTACTATTATAATAACAATAAATTATGCAGAATTACATGCAAGTAACCCTAAAACAAACCCTAATCCTAACCCTAACCATATAGTAAGTGCATGTAGTTAATTAATATAACTCAGTACTTAAATGTATACTTACACTGTAACAAGGACACCTTAAAATAAAGTGTAACCTTATTTTGTAATTAAATAATGTAATTCCGTTACATGTAACTAGTTACTCCCCAACACTGATGATGCCACAATATGTGTAATCATTCAGATATGCGTTAGTGTTAAGAAATTGCTAGTAAAATGTTACATTTATTTCTGATGCACATTTTATTTGTGCCGTTTTATTAGTAAAGGTAAAGTGTAAAGTGATCCTGTGTGGTTTTAGCATGAAGCATTGCAACATCTATGTGTGCACAAAACCACAGGTTGAGTTGTTTCCTATGCTTCTCTGTAACAGATGTATTTGGGCACATGCATATGAACCATGTGGTATAATGACGGTGAATCACACTTTTTTCATAGCGCCTCTTTCTTTCTTTGTGTCATTGGTCTTCTTAAACACCCCTGCACTGTCAGTTAAGACACTGCGGCATTCACAGAGGAAGTAAGATATGATGCACTCCCACTGCCAGTGACAGATTTGAAGAACAACACGGTCACAAAGGGCGAGTCCAACTGTCTTAATTGAGGATTATTCTTTGAGGCATCTTTACAGAGTAAATTAAAGGTAAGAATATGACATTTTCTTGACTTTTATGTTCATTCTAATTTAAGTAAGTGATACTTTCGTTACTGTACTCACATTGTTGCTTATTAAAAATAGGGTATTTTTAATAATGTATTTTATAACATAGACATGTTTTCATAAAACGTCCAGTTTATGTTTCATGTCATTTGACATTTTTATTTATCTTAATCTGTGTCTGTTTTCACCAAGTAGTGTTGGAAAAGTAAACTACTGCTTGTTCTGGTAAAGGAAGTCGCACAGGAAACGCACGACAGCCCGTCAAATTCTACACGGGGCTCCATTTAGCAGTTTCATGTGTTAGATTGCACTATGTCTTGTCCACCTTCAGTTTTGGGGGAAGAACAGGAAAGCTTTTTTTCTGATTTTACTGAGTCAGTGATCTTTATGTTGTGGACTCAAGCAGTTTGGGAAAGAACACAAGGTCTTAATGTGAGATAACAGTTTTAACGTCTGCTCCGTGTGTTTGATAACTTTTGCAGAACGCAGTGGAAGATGTCGTGCCTGAAGTGTCTAAAGTACACCATGTGTGTGGTGAACTTTGTCTTTTTTGTATGTATCCATTCTCAGACTGTCTCATCGTTATAATATACAATGGCTTTTCACATTTAGAATTGTTCATCTCAGGCCATTCTAAACCCGCTCTTGTTTGGTTGAAATTACCATCACAGGTCTGTGGGGCTACTGTCTTTGGATTTGGCATCTATTTGATGACATTCTCCAGGTTCTCTTCCCTACTCCCCAGTCTTCAGGCTATGAGCATCGCAAACTCGGTTTTCATCACTGGGATCATTATCACCTGTGTCTCCTTCTTGGGCTTTCTTGGAGCCCTGAAGGAAAATCGTTGCCTGCTTATATCTGTGAGTCTCAAGCAGAACATTGTTAGCATCCATCATCACTTACACTTGCATATTCTCTGTTGTCCACTAAGGCTGATGATACACTGGGCAACTTTGGTTAATGTTGCTGTCAGCGGGCAACCAGGTGAGACACAGGGCCCATAACCAATCTAAAGTATCCAGATAGAAATGTGTTACTCATTCTCAGTGGGAAAGTGCCCCAGGAAACATTGCTGACAAAAAGTTGCCTGGCAAAATTGCTCAAAAAGCTGCCCGTGTATCATCAGCCAAGTTTAACTTTCTGGGTTCTTAAAAAAAAAAAAACTCGTTATCTCTTTTTGTTTGGTTGGTTTAGTTCTTCATACTGTTGTTCATTCTAATGTTGGCTGAGTTGACTGGTGCCTGCCTTTTGCTGATGTACGAGACACAGGTAAGAAACTGAATTTGAATATGGAAGCAGAGTACATGTGAGGAAAAATTGATCAGATTGTGCTTTTTACTCACAGATTGAGGAATTCATTGATAAAGATCTTAAGAATGGTTTAAAAAAATCCAATGAGAGCAGACGCAATGGAACAGTTGAAGATGACTGGGATAAAGTGCAAATGGCTGTAAGTGTCCATTTAGACTGTTTCTCTTTTACGAGTGGTGCTCAGTGTTGTACACGAGTCCTGGGAAGAACCACTCATTTTCTTGAGAAAAGTCGGCTTACTCATCATCACACTTAGGCATCAGAATATTAAGCAGTTTTTTTCTTTACAGGCACACATTTGTTCTTAATAAATAAATAATCAATTAGAGTTTTTCTTATAAATCAACAGTTTCATTGCTGTGGAATCAGTAACCATACAGACTGGGGGACACATGTACCGAAGTCATGCATCAAGCATAGAAGTGAAACACATTATTGGCCGCAGGTAATACTGCACTTCTATCCATCTCTATATGAGCTATATAGCAAAACTATATTAATGAAACACAGATATATGGAGATGCACATCAAATGTACACATCTGTGCAGCCGATTCAATCTTATATCACATGTATTGTCTTGATTGTTGCACTTAGGGTTGTTTCACAAAGCTGAAGGATGCATTTGAAGAAAACCTCTTGAACACAGGGATTAGTGTCATTGTTGTCTGCGTTATTGAGGTATGAATTTCCATATGAGGCTTTATGTCTTGTCATAGTCACCTTAGCTAATCGAAATAAATTATATGAGACCCCACATAACAGATTAAAAATTATTAAATGATTATCATTTATAGGACTATATATCATATATCAGACTACATATATCAGGACTATATGATATATCATTTATCAGTTTTGTTTAGCAGCTATTGCTTTACACTTCATGCAGATCACTAGTGTAATATGATAATTAAAGGTATTTTTATTAACGCGACTAAACATAATCTCTCCCCTTGTAGGTCTTGGGTATGTGTTTCTCAATGACCCTGTTCTGCCACATAAGTCAAACTGGGTTAGGATACAAATGATCAAACACAATGTTTCCATATTTCACAGTTTGTGTTTTTAATAACTATTGTCCCACAAATACCCAAAGACAGCCAGTAAAAGACAAGATGGCTCGCAGTTCTTACATGGATGCTTGGTTCTTGGTTCTATGTATATGGTATCTGTCCTCTAAGAAACAGTGGTACAAAATCCATAATTATTGTAACTGCATTATTGTTATTATTATTATTTTGCATGTATGATTTAGAGTTATTAGAGCAGTTCAATCAGAACTGGTTAAAAAAAAAAAAACCTCTCAGCAGTATTATTTTGCCTTTGGCCATCACAGCTTAAAAGGAAACTTTCTAGGGGATTTTAGATACTGAATTCACCCACTTTCATCTAAATGTCAAGTTATAAAAAGGGTGTAAGAGAGATTTTCCATGATGAATCATCTTTACACAAAAATATAATGGCATATTACACTGTATATAAGTACTGATTCTTTCGCGTCACAATTATTTTTGACCTAATATGTTGCTGTAATTGACTTGTTATATAGACTATAATTGACTTATGTAGACTAAAGATGAACAATGCAAAGCATTTATTTCTGATCACTTCCTTTTCTGACTAGCTGTAGCAGTGACTAAACCATGTGATTTCGCAGAATATGCACAGGGTGGAAACCACACGTGCTTATTTAAAACCATTTGTAATGCATATTGTTTTTTCCTTTTCTTTTCTCTGCAAACTAATGTAAATTAACCTAAAACAGAATGAAAATGTTTTCTCTCCTTTTTGAAACATTAAGGCAAATTACCAGCATTATGCTTGTGGTTGATGGAGGAAGTACCACCAATAGCAAATCAACACTAGTGTCATGATCATGATGGGTGGCTTGAAATGATGCTTTCGGTTATGAGACTGCATTTAAAGTTCATGAAAGATTAAATGTATTTTGTCAACAGCATTGAAAAAAAAAAAAAAAAAAAAAAATTAATAAAACCAAA